GAGAGCCCTGGGGCGAGATATTCTAACCGACTCAGCAGCCCTGGGGGCGAGAAAGGTGAACTGCTCCATAAAGACTGTGGGCTAGAAAGCCTCAGGGCAGTTTGTTGTCACACGAGGACGAGGTCCTTAATGACACCCAGCAACAACAATCAGGGTCTAAGTAAGACATTTGCGATCTGCCCCCCCCCCCCAATTTGGTTCCTCCAGCACCCCTCAGAGGTTAGAGATATTGGCTGGGAAGTGACAGAAGCCAGCTCTGGCTGAACTAAGAAGAAAAAGAAATGCCTAAGAGTTAAACATGGAATTGCCCTGTGATGTAGTATTCCCACTCCAGAGAAAATCACAACAACCCAAAGTCAGGTATGCAGACATTTGGCCACCAATAAGCATTATTCTCAATGATGGAAACAGAAGTTGTTAACAGTTACAGCTTGTTCAGCTCCACAATCAACACTCTTTGCACCAGCAAAGAAATCAGGAAATCAAAAGAAGAATTGTCTTAGGTAAATCTGCTTTCAGGGACCTCTCCAGAGTACTGAGAAGCAATGATGTCAGTCTAGAGACTAAGGTGCACCTGATCCAGGCCATGATCTTTGCAATTACTTGCTATGCAAGCTGGGAAATGAGTAAGGATGACAGAAGAAGAATTGATGCCTTTGAGTTGTGGTGCTGGAGAAGAGTCTTGAACATATCATGGACTGCCAAAAAAAAAAAACAAATAGGAGAGGGTCTTGGAGAGGGTGAAATCAAGTTTCTCCTTGGAGGCTAGGTTTTTGAAGCTCTGTCTCAGATACTTTGTGTACATGGCCAGGAGGCACTGATCCATGGAAAAGGACATCATGCTCAGAATGATGGAGGGACAGTGCAGGAGAGAAAGATCCTGGATTACATGGACTGATATAGTAACTGGGGCAGTGAGGGTAGAGGTGTCAGAGTCAGTGAGACTGGCTCAGGACAGCACAGGCTTCAGAGCTGTTGTACATAGGGTGGTTATGAGTTGCAGGCAACTTGATGGCACATAACAACAACAACCCATCAACAGATGATTAAATATTACTCAGTCATAAAAAGGAATTGCATTTTGATTTGTTCTATGATGTGGACAGACTCTGATATGTTCTGCTTAGGAAAGAAGTCAGACAAAAAGGACAGCTCTCAGTCAAACTGTGAAGGCAGCCACGTTGGGCCCAGTGACGGATTTTTCTCCATTTCTTCACTCCCAGAGAGTGACCTGTCTCTGAAAGTCTCTTTCCCTTTGAGACTTCTCTTTTCTAATAAATCTAATTTCTTTCACATGCACAAAAAAGGGATGGCTGTCTTATGACCCCATTTGTGGGCTGTCTAGAACTAGCCCCCCATAGAAGGGTACATTTTATGTTATATGTGTTTTTTTTGTTTTTATTTTAGTTTAGTTTATTCTTTTTTGTGTGTACCATCAAATCGGATCTGACTGGCACAGGAGAAGATGGTCCCTACTTCTCCAGCAGAGAATTTGGTGGATTTGAACCATGCACCTCTGGGATTGTAGTGCAGCTTCTTGCCACTAGGCCACCAGAGCTCCCTTTAGATGTGGTTTTTAAAAACAGAAAACATACTCACCAGTGGAATCAGCGACTTGTTCAAGTGGGCAGTAAGTGTAGCGGTTAACTTCAGCTCACTGTTCATGTCGATGGTGTACATTCGGTTTTCAAAGTTCCCTTGGAGAATTTCTATCTGGTTAGAAAAGTAAGACAGGAAGTCATAAAGTCATTCACACACACACACACACACCCTAAAAGAAATGGCTTTGATCCCGGGTTTCGGCACCACAAAAAAAAAAGAAATGGCAAGTGAGGCACCGGGGAGTCCCCACCTCGGGTCGCACTGGGCTTGCTATATTGTCTTTCCTGCTAGACTTCCTGCAACCACAGTCCCTCCATTCTTCCCTCCAGAAGGAACCTTCCCCTCTTTATTTATTTAATTTTATTAATTTTAATGAACATTTACAGAGATTTTTGGATTTCCATTCATTCATTGTTGCACTTTTCTCCCTGCCCACTCCA